GGTTAGATTAGTTTAGAATTATCCTTTTAGACTTTCCCAGCAAAGACATATTGTTTTGGGACATATTGTTTTAGATTGTTTTATCTCTCACAGCTTTCTCACAGCTCTCTGCTGACGAGACTAGCGCCACATATGGAGTTGTTTATTTTATCTGTTTATTATTTTCTTATCCTGTTCTCACTGTCTTTTCTATAAAAAGTGCCAAGCCTCTGTTCACGACGTGAGTTGTTCTCAGCAGCTCACCCGTGTACACGTTTAGCAAAGAAAGTAACTTTGTCTCATTGTGTCTTTATTTCTCCTGGGTTTTTTACAGAGTTTTCCCCCAACATGTTCATTTGGGCAATGGAGTCCAGCACTCCTTCAAAGGCAGATATAGGTAAACAGCACTAAAAAGCTTTACTATTCAAAAGGTGATTAGTGCCAATTTCTGAATATTTATTTTTTAATTTCACAATATGACAAAATAAAGGATGCTTAATACTTTTTAACATGATATTCTTAATAACAAAATTGAAAAAAAATTTGGATTTTGTTATTATTTTCCTTGAGTATTTCTTCTTCAGTCACCTTTCTCACTCACTATGTGTTAACAGACCTCTCTGGACAGAATCATACTTGTTATTATTCTCCGTCTCTCTTCCACAGCATGTCTTTATCCTGTCTTCCTCCTCTCACCCCAACCGGTCGCAGCAGATGGCCCCGCCCCTCCCTGAGCCTGGTTCTGCTGGAGGTTTCTTCCTGTTAAAAGGGAGTTTTTCCTTCCCACTGTCGCCAAAGTGCTTGCTCATAGGGGGTCATATGATTGTTGGGTTTTTCTCTGTATGTATTATTGTAGGGTCTACCTTACAATATAAAGTGCCTTGAGGCAACGGTTGTTGTGATTTGGGCTGTATCAACAAAACTGAATTGAATTGAAGAAAATGGTATTTGCATTGAGCAAACATGACAAGTCATGCCACAAAAATAATCAGTACATTGTCTCTTCAAAATACAACAAATACTAGAGTGTCCAGAAGGTCAACATTTTTTTTTTAAAAAATGTGTCAGGAAGTGCTGTGTGGCAGGAAGGAGTTGGACCCAAAATGCAGGCTCTCAGACTCAAGGGGTGAACTCAAAATCACAGCTTTATTGGCTGGCAAGGAAGACGCATTTTAAAAAAAAAAAAAAAAAAACTACACTGGGAAATCTAAGTTCAAGGAAACACAGGGACAGAGTAACACACCGCAATGAGGGACGATGTAACATTGACACAGAGACACACAGGGCTTAAATACACTGGGGAATAACGAGGGAATGAGACACAGAAGAAGAGCAGAGCTGGGGGAAATCAGAACTGATGAGAGAAGGAAACGAAGTAGGGCCGTATTCAGGGTCTGCAGCCTTAAAGGCCACATTTTAAGGCCGATTACGTCACAGTGGCGCGCCGAAGGCTGTCCCAATTCAAAGGCTGCTCGAAATGCGGCCCTCAAATGCGTCCTTCATTTCCCTGAATTTTAAGGCTGTGGCAGTGTAGACTTCGTGGCCCAACATATCCCACAATTCATAGCGTGGCAGTCGGTGTGGATAATTTTGCCGCAGACGGCAGAAGCGGAGCGGCCGAAGAGTAAACTGTGAAAAGTAAGTACGGAATATTATGTCACTTATTTATGTGCAAATGTTTAATAATGAGGAACATTAAAACATTACTGTTGGCCACATGTCGCCATTAGTGATGTTTGTACTTTCAGCGTTAACTTGCTTTTAAAGCCTCTACTTCAAAATATATATATAGTCGACCTTAATCTTACAGAGAATGTGATGATTTTGTGGATAATTAAAGTCAGTCATATAGCCACAAACACAACAAGCTGAAAGTCAGTGATGCTGCTCGGTTTGCAGTCCTGAATATCACGACACAAGCAGGATTCACTGCACTGTTAATGTTCGCTATGTTATATTGCTGCCTCTGTTCGGTGGTGTCGAGCCAAACGGACTTTAACGTGTATTTGAACGAGCTGACGGTTCACTCGTTAAGCTGAAAGAAAGATGCTTTAATCACAGCAGTCACACATGTGTCCACTGTACCATCTGGGAACTCTTCTTGTTTTGTAATAACACAATCCTCCTTCTTTTGTGCTGTTTTGTAGCAGTGTCTACACCTGAGACTGTCACCCGTCTGTCTGTCCTGCACTCTCTCTCTGTTTCTTTCTCTCTGATTGTGGAATAAAAGTATGAACATGTATTTATAAGTTACACTTGTGTTTGAATCCTGCAGCTTATCACACATTTGATTCCCATGTGTGACAACTGCAAGTGTCCAGAGTGAGGACAGACTGAAAGACCCAATGCTGCACATCATCTGTGAGGCTTTGCAGCCCTGATGATCCACCAGGACAAACTCAGCAGTGTGTGAGGAAGTGAAAATATGTTCTCCTTCATTTCTGTCAACCACACGTTTCCAGCTATCATGGTTGCTAGGCAACCTGGGCAGCGCGACGGAGGCTAGACCGTCCCATTTCACAAGCCTCGCACTTCCGGCCTTAGCGGTCTTTGAGTACGCAGCCCTTGAGGACCGTTGAGGCTGTGTACTTTAAGGCTGCAGACCCTGAATTGGGATACAGCCTAGGATACACTCACATGAGACACAGACCTTCAAAGTAAAACAGGAAGTATAACACTGAGGCGTGAACTTGACATGGTGGAGACAGAACAACTAAGAAACAGAGACATAACCATAAGGCAGAGGACTCTAAGAACCAAAAGACTAGAGATGATAAATAATACACAGAGTGAAATCCTGGAACACAAGAAACTGACTCAAGGGAGCAACAAAATACCAACCATGAGAACATAATTCACAATACAGAGAGACAAAAAACACAGGAAAATCAAAACATGCCAAGACACAGACCAAGAAACACGGACTTTACACAGAACAGAGGGGGCACAGAGAAACATGAGGGGCAAGGGATCAAAATTAGAAACGATAGAATAAATCACACGAGAACTCGACAAAATACTAAGAAAACTCACAAAGAACTAAAAACGCTGGGTCAGGAGACCCAGGACCCTGACAAAATGTTATTATTTGAAATGGAGTCACTTGGGTCTCACAAATTAAAAATATACATATATTCTATTTTGACAGGACAACCTACTGATATTTGTTTTAGCAGTACAGCGTAGTTCAAAAGAGCATTTTTTGAAGAAAATATCTTGTGTAGTATTTAATATTTGAAGTTAAAATTTCACAGTAGTCGTTATACGTGCCCAAACTTTGTACCATAACATTTTTATGAAAATCATGGATGGTTGAGCAGAAGTCCTGTGTTGATTTTAAACAGAATGACCCATGAGCTGGGTTTGACTTTACTAACTTTTTGAAGTTACTTTTTAACAAGCAGGTAGTAGTTTGTGTAGTACAAGAAAAACTACCCATTAGCTTAAGAAATTCCTGAGCTGTCCTTAAAGTAACACCAAAGCTGGGTCCGCTCCCTAGACCTCAAAGAAAGGCTGCAGCTTGGCAGAAATCCCACAGAAGGAAACAGAGGGAGTCAGGACAAAGACAAGCTATGAAAGAGAGAAAGCAAGAGAAGTGCAGTTTGGTGTATAAACACATGGAGAGTGAAAATAAAATGAAGATAAAATGCTCAGTGTATCATGGTAAGCCACCAACAACCCAGTTGCAGCATACCTAAGGGATGGTTTAGGGGCATCTGATACAGCCCCAACGGGAAAGTATTGACAAGTAATGTTAAAAATAGAGATAGTGTCTGAATTTAAATAGTGTTATGAATTAAAGAAAAAAAGAATGCTTGGACACTGCTATCATAATGGACAAGTTTTTGACAGGGCTCCCACAACTATGTCTCCAAACTAACTTCCTTCCAAGCCAAAGACTAGAAAATACGATGAAGCATATCTTGCCTTTGGCCTCACCTGCACAAGTGCCAAGGTAGGTCTCCCCGGCAGAATTAGTTTCCAAGCGTCGGGAGCAGGCGCTGGGCTCTCCAAATCACGGACAAACAGAATCCAACATTCTGGATTTTTAGTTCACAAAAACTTCTTATAATGACTTACTATCCCTGACATTTTGACACTTTATACAGTAAAGTTACAGTGGAACACAAATAATGACAGGCTGATCCTGCCACAATTTGTTCCCCCTGTCCAAATCATGGACAAGATTTTCTTGTAAAATAAAGGGGGGGCCTAGCAAAAGAAAGTTTGGGAACCACTGACGTAACCGCAGTAATCAGTCTGAAGGAGTCCTGACAGTATCTTTCACAGATTTCTTTCTGCTGCTGATGGATTTGCCTCTAAACGTCAAACAGGCTTTGTTTGACGTTTTGTTTGACGTCTGTACAGTGTGCAATGTGCAGACAAGTCTGTCATTCTTTACAAAAGCAGGCTCTGAGAACACAAATTAGTTGTTGTTGGTGATGTTCCTGTGTGTGTCAATCTGTCTGTTCTTAGTGTATTTTAGAGTAAAAGTGTCAGATTATTGCACAATAGTGTTTGGACTTGAATTCAAACAATGTCTCCTTGATTTCACACAAACTGCAGACTGAGATTACTCTGTCATGTCTAATATGTTTGTGATCAGTAATGATATACTATTAGATGTTATGATATCCCTAATCCAAGAAATAATGATTAGGAAAAAGTGAAACATGTTTAAAACTAGACACACAGCATTAGGTTTGGGTATTATTAACTGTTTTCCAGTAAGTAGAGTTACGTTTCTGAAAATACTGTTTTAAATTCAACACGTGGAAACTCACAATTCAAAACAGAAGTGTTGTTTGTGTTAAACTGTTTTACCCAGTGTCCTCTGCAGGCCTGAGACTGAAGTGCAGCTGGTTCTCAGAGGGATGACCTGCCAGGCTGTACTTCAGCGTCACACAGCCCTCTGCTGCCTCTGAGCTCTGACACAGAATTACAGTGTTAGAAGTCACGTTAATCACTGTCATCAAATACCTAAACAACAACATGAGAGGCTGCTGCTCCTACCTGTCCAGTGAGCTGGGCATAAATCAGTGACCTCTGACCCTGGAAAAGTGTTGTGATTGGTGGAGAGAGGACAGTGACAGACACTTCCTTTGGTAAATCCCATGTGACTGAGATGTCGACCACAACCGGCTGCAGAGCAAATCGCAGCGACTGCATCACCTGAAAAATAATGAAAACTTTCCAAATATACACAAACAGCTGGAACAGACATTTTACTCACTGCAGGTCTGATCTCAAATATGCATGCTGCTGCTGCTCGATGTTTAACTTGACTTCTTTTGTGTGTGTTGTGTGTGTTTGTTTTTGTGTGTGTGTGTGTGTGTGTGTGTGTATGTATATGTAGTATATATAATATAATATATATAAATTATATATATATATATATATATATAAACATGTTTGAACATACATACATGCACATAAACAGACACATAATCAACCATACATTAAGACATTTATTCCAACATGCAAACTATGGACCAAAATACAGGGGAAAGATCAAGGGTAAGGTAACCAATGAATGCTTTCTCTCTTTCATAGTGTTACGTTCCCCTGAGGGGTCTAGGCGGTGAGGGGGAAGTAACAAAAAGTGTCCAGGTCAGAAAAAGGAGTCAGGGAGGCAAAAGGGTTAAATTAAAGAGTTTTATTAAAGTAGCTCAACTAAAAGAGACGGACAAGCCGCTATCACCATTTAGGAAAACAAACAAAACTCAGGCGTTGGTCGATAAAGTAAAACGTAAGTCAAAAAGAAAGAGCAGCTCACTAGCTGAAAATGACCAAAAACACACACAGCTCACTAGCTGAAAACACAACAACCACTCAGCTCACAAGCTGTAACCACACTACTGGCACTCTGGCCCAGAGCTCACCTTTCCCTGGGCTTAAATCTCCTTAACTACTGACGAGAGTCAGCTGCACAAAAGGGAAAGGTGGCACCTCAGGCAGAAGGGGTAGTGGGACACACACAGGCACCTTCAGGAGGAGGCCCTGCTAGGGCCGTAACACATAGCTTGTCTTTCTCCTGACTCCCTCTGTTTCCGATCCCGGTCCCAGTGTCGCCACCTCCAGCTGATGAAAGGGAGAGATGCTTCCGTTGCAGAGAACTTTTCCAAATCACTTTATGGCGACCTGTCCAATTTGGCCAAAAGACTGTGCTCACTGGTAAATTCGGGCATACGGGTGGGTGAATCCCTCACTTCCACTGAATCTCTGCTTCTCCTTCTGGTCATCCTCCGTCTCAACTAGATCACTAGGTCACTTCAAGCCTCAGCAGATTCAGGAGCTGAGCAGAACCTAATTGATATTAGGTTAGCTAACGAGTTACATCTCCCTTTGATCCTGTTAAATCCTCCCATCCCTGCTACAGCCCTTAATAACCAATTTTTCACTACTATTACCCACCAGACCAAAGCCATCAGTATTATTATCTGAGGCAATAACCAGACCCAGGAGAGGGTTCCTTTACTCTGGGGTGGAGACAAGGAGGCCGCTTCCAGTCCTGCAGCAGCAGGGAAGTTCTCCTGTTCTCCTGACATCAGCAGTTTGTGACGACCCCATGCGTCACTCTGCCCATTCATATGTGGTGTTGATTCGTGCTGTTCAAAAGTGAATTTAAAACATGGGAGGGGCATGGTGCCAATGACCTGCCCCTGTTCACCTGCCAGACAAAAGCCAGTGTCAGCATGGCCCCCCCCAAAGAACCCTCAATGTCTACGTGTATTTAAAATTGAGAGGTGGGCACCGGTACTAGAAGTGAGGCTGAACAAACACACTGCCTTCTTTGAATCGCCATTTCAAAATTAAAACACTTATTCACAACTGCTCCCATTCTCATCCACCCCGACCACTCAAAGTTGTGTACTGTAGAAGTGGAAGCATCAGACTCTGGTGTTGGAGCAGTCCTCTCACAGTACTCAGGTTCTCAAGGCAAACTACAAGCCTGTGCCTTCTTTTCTCGCAGTCTTTCCCCAGATATTATGATGTAGATGACCGTGAGTTGTTGGCTGTAAAATTGGGCCTAGAAGAATGGAGACACTTACAAGGGGGGGCAGAGCATCCTTTTGTGATCTGGATAATCATAAGAACTTAACCTATTTAAGGACAGCCAAGAGACTGAGAGCCCATCAGGCTCGCTGGTCACTATTTTACGCACGTTTTAACGTCTCTGTTTCCTACAATCATATCCCTGCTTCCTCAGGCAAAACTGTAATAATCACCATATTTAACAGTTTTTTTTTTAAGTTAGCCCACCGTATAGCCTTGAAAAAAAAAACTGTCTTCAGTTGCTGAGGCAGCTAAATTGTTAACAGATCATGTTTTCCGACTCCATGGTATTCCGGTGGAGATCATGTCTGATCAAGGCCCTTGGTCTACTTCACAGGTGTGGAGGTCATTTTGTACAGCATTAGGAGGCCGGGTCAGTCTCAGCTCTGGATATCATAGCCAGACCAGCAGCCAAACAGAGCAGATGAAACAGGAGCTGGAGGCTACACTTTGCTGTCTCATGTTCAACAACCCTTCAACCTGGTCATCATATCTCCTCTGAGTGGAGTATGCACACAACTCTCACACTTCATCCATTACTGGTTTCTCTCTTTTGAAATCTCCTTAGGATACCAACCACTTTGTTCCCAGAAACAGAGATAGAACTGGCAGTTCCCTCAGCGCAGCAGCGGCGATGTCAACGTGTCTGGACACGGGCCAGAGAGACATTAGTCTGGAAAGATGAGCGCTAGTGCCGTTAAGCAGACCACGCACTCCCAGGTAGCTACTTGGGCAGAAGGTATGGCTTGCTGCAAAAGATATTTCCCTAAAGTCACTGTTGCATTCACCCATACAAGGTGGGGCTCCATCATTAGCCCCAAGGTAGTTAAACTGAAGCTACCAGCATCATGATGCATAATCAATCATCCAGGTAAGTAAATCCCCAAAAGTTGATTCTGTTCATCTGGATGTAGCGTTTTCAGTGGGAGAAATGTTTTGTCACTCAACTGACTTCTTCAGTCTCAGCTGACTGCAGGTTTCCCCAATCTTATAAACAGAACATTTGCATAATGACTGAAACCAGCCCAGTGAAGGAACAATGGGCTGGGAGGTCAGTTCCTTGATCATTAATATGCAAACACTCATGAACATTGATCAACAACCACTGATCACTGGCCATGAGCACCATTCACAGAGAGTTGGGGAATGGCTGCAATCACAGCATTGTAAGATGGCAAAAGATGTACCCTTAGGCAATGTTCCCTCTGTGCAATCGCGCACTGCTGGCACAGGCTCCTCGCACAGAGAATCTGCGTTGCACACAAAAAAAAAATCTATCCTGAATTGAAATAAAAATAAATACGTTAACAATTCATTCTGTTTTGCAGAATGAGTCAGTAAGTGACCGGTGACTGGCTGCTCCAGCCAATGATGCGATTCACATTCGTATATACGCAGCTAATCAACATCGTTGACAGGCTATGACAACGTTCTTATGTGCCAACACCGGTGTTTTAGCTAGCAAAGCAGCGTGGCTGATGTGCAGGATCTTGGATGTCCGCCGGCCTGGTCGTGGCTGCCAGTCTTGGGTAGACTGGGAAGGGTACTACACCTCCGAGTAAAAAGACTGCATGTGTGAAATAATGTCAAGGAGATCTGTCGAGAAAATTAGTTTAAACTCAGAGAAGAGAACTGATCAAGAGACTTGGTCCAGTTGAAGACGTGCAGACTTTTTAAGCAGTCACTAGAATACATGGCAGGGAAAACAGGTTGAGGTGGATTGAGGAATCTGCTGATGGTGTCAAACAAAAACCTTGATTGGATTTATTACCATTAATCAAAACAGCAGAATAAGATTGTGTCTTTTATGAGTTGGTTAAGTATGTTTAGTAAGACCTTCATATGGTGTCATTATCCTCCTTCATAATTGTGTTTAATGTCTTACTTTTGGTTGCATCCTGTCAGTCCCTGTGATGAACTGAGCGTGACCTCCTCCTTCCTTGGCCATCCCATTGATGAGAGCAGAGCTGGCCCCTTCCCCAATCCCAAAAGAGAAACACCTGCAATAAAACAATTGTCTTTGAGCACACAGAGGACATGTTGGACATCCTAAAAACTGTGTAGATATAACTGTGGTTTTGTGGTTTCACCTGTGAGAACCTGAATTCTTCTTCACCTGATCGATCACTTCTTTGGTGTTCCCCACCTCTCCATCAGTAAAGACAAACAGCTAGAGAGGAGAGTTTACACATAAGGACATATCACCAGACCCACAAACACACAGCTTGTTCTGAGAGCTGAGTTAGTTTTCAGAAATAGTAACTGGGCTGTGTTTTATTAGTGCTTTTCTACTGTGCTTGAGCACTCAAATCTCTTTATGCAACATGTCTCATTCACCTATTCAAATAAAATGGGTGAATACGGGCCCTTTTTTCTATGGGTTTCTATAAAGCAGTAACATGCACATACTCACTCTACATCATGCACATTGGGATCAAGAACACATTGCCATGCAGCCAGGAATTGAACCACCAATGTTCTTATGAGCAGATTATCTGCTGCACAACCTGACAGACAGGTTGTGCAGCTTTCCTAGTGTCCCACTGTATGTGTTACCTGTCTGGGCTGATTGGGAATGCAGGGCTGGCTGTAAATATGTTTGATGGGCTCCAGGATCTCTGTTCCTCCAAGATCAGCCTCCATCTGCTCAACTTTCTTCAGAGCCTCCTCCATGGTCTGCTGGCTGTACTCCACACTCTTACTGCCATCACATAAACACATGCACCAAAACATCCATTAAGATAGCTTAGCAAAGACAGCATGGCCTTTGTTGTTGTTGTTGTTGTTGAGACTCACAGGAAGATGTGTTCATATCTGGACCCAAAACTGTAAATGTTGAAATAGCAGCCAATTGGTAAACTCTTCAACAGGAGCAGCAGAGTGTCCTGAAGGGAAGAGGGAAAAGATGGTGAGGCCACTGTGTGAGAGGAACACTATGAAAGAATATCTATCTAATATGAGTGTAAGAACAAATGATGGATACCTTGGCACTGCGGATGCGAGTATTACTCATACTTCCAGATCGATCCATTAAGAACACAAACTCTCCACATGAAGCTGTTGAAGACATCACAGACTGGGTAAACTCAGGGTACAGACTCACCATCACCACTGGATCACCCATCAGAGAGCCTGAGAAATCAGAGACAGAAAAAACTTAAAACAACATCACCTTTAAGTGTTTATTCAAACATATTGAACTGCTGAGCTGATGAGTAAAGATAATTTGCTAATAAAAATGTATCTAACAACCTCTTCCATTTTCACTCACCCGGCTCAGCAGAGGCCTGACCTGCCTCCACCACAGCAGTGGGCTGGTGGGCGTCTTTGTAATAAATCAGCAGTTCAACATCTCTGTCAAACTTGTGTCCTGCAGCCAGCTTGACCTGCACACCACAAACACATTCATATTTATTCATCAGTAACAAGTAACAACCACACACAGCAGACACATCAGCACTCTACCTACCGTGGCCTGGGTTTGATCAGTGTTGAGGTACTGCAGAGGGTCCAGGGAGCAGTTGGACTCTACTTTATGGATTGGACGAGGAGAGGACACTCGGGCAGAAAAAGACAGACTGTAGGGCACCAGAGAGGCTGGAACAGAAGTCACCTGGACACCTGCACCTTCGCTACCTGCACACAGCATCAGGTTAGAAATGCTGTAAACAATAAGGCTGCTCACAAGAAAAAACTTCAGCTGCTAAAAACCTCTGCTTCGAATAAGGATTTCAGGAAAATTAGGTATTTTTAAAAAACAGCTCTATTTCAGCTGTTCGGGAATAACTAGATTATCAGAGTACAAATGATAGAGAACCATGCATCTGTGTGAGCAGCTTTACAATTTAACAGCTGTACTCTGTGTGTTTTGCAAATGTTCCACATACTTGATCAATTCTAATAGCAAACTGGAACATACACAAATCCCCATAACAATTTTATATATTCAAATTTCACTTGCAACATATCAAGCTGACAAGAAAATCTGAAAAGTTACAGTCTGTGGTTACTCAACACATCTGCCTCTGGTTTCTTACAAAGTTTATAATATGAAAAATATCTATATCACTTTTTCTTCTAGAAAATGAAGTTGGATCTTGACTTAATTTTCTGCCATACATTGTATTCTGTCAGTGTTTTGAATGTTTGTTAAAGACCTAATATGGTTTAAACATTTCTAGTCCAAGTATTCTGAAGTTGTCCTACCCTGAGGTTGGTATCGAGGGTTGAGCACAGCAGGCAGACAGAACCTCAGACCATCATCAGCCTGCACAGCCAGCTCAGTGACGTACTCCAACCTGATGGAGGCGCTCTCTCCTGGAGGCAGGCTGCCCACACGCAGAGAGAATATATCTGGACTCTGATCACTCTCCTCCAATAGGAAGGCCTGCTGACCGGAGCTCAGAGCATCATCATACTCCTCACGAGCCTGAAGCACAGGTGACACATGTCAGTGACATTCACTGTGTTTATTTTGAAGCTCACTTATAATCAGGTTATATTTACTGTCCAGCTCACCTTCTGTTTCTCCTTCACCTCAGCTACAATCTGTGTCTGTCCAATCTGAGCACTGAAATGACAGACAGCAGCATCTCCAGGCAGAGGGAAGACAAAAACAGCCTCTAATGGTTTGTCCTCCTTGTTCTCGTAGTTCAGAGTGGAGACCACTGTAGCCACATGGTCCCTCACCTCCAGCTCCACCTCAATGCTCTTCAGAGGAACTGACAGACAAACAGAATTAGAATAACTACATAAACCATACAGATGTTTTGCAAATGGTTGATTCACAGATTGTGTCTTGTGTTATATTTCAGCCACACAAAAGTCAACTATTAACAAGCTGAAGCTTATGCTTCTTCCTGCTCCTTTTTGAACATGGACGTTATTTGGAGTTGTGGTTGCTCGTTTTCCTTTTGTTTGCTTTGTTCATTTGTCTCTTTCAATTCTATTTTTTTTATACTTTTTCAACATGTTCAAAATAAAGATTCAATCAATCAATCAATCAATACTTAAACCTGACTGTTCGATAGTGTCGCAATGTGTATTTATTTTTATTCATATTGATTCATTTATTTATTTATTTTTTATCAATTAATTTTCCTCTTTACTTTTCTACTACAAGGATATACTCTGCATGACCCGTAGCCATATGTAGCACAGCCCACTGCCCAGGATGCATATGGTCAACTTTACCAACTTGTACAGAGTGAGCTTGCTGCCATCCTGAACTCTCCACCAGTAAGTGTGGGAGACCCAGACGTTTTTATTATGTATGCTTTGGCCAGTAGAAGATGAAAATGGCCACGGACCTCAATGCAATTCTCATGTTGATAGTTGAGTACAGCCTCAGTCAGGGTGAAACAATTATATATTATTATTTGTTACTACAACTGATTAAAGTCTTTACATTTGAATGTTACATGAATGAAAAGAGTCTGCAGAGAAAACTTTATTTCCTGTCAGTACCTGGTTCCCTCTGGAGAGTTAGCAGGCCACAGTGGTTCATAATCGTTCCTGTGAAACAAAAACATAGCGATATTAATATTAAACACAAGAAATATTTTTCGTCTATGCAGCCTGGAACAATGCTCTACTTTATATATTTTATATACATATAAAATTCTGCATTTAAGAAAACGTTTCCTTAAAACAAAAACTTAATATGACATTTAAAAGGTTGTTTTTGTCGTTTTTAGTTTTTTAACAAATGAAACAAAAACATTGTAGTTCATTTTAAAAGCCCTGTATTGCTTTTCTTTTGATTTTTTTTTTGTTATTGCTCATTAATAAGACAAAAGTATTTCTTATCCAATTAATCAACGGTATATTTGATAGAATTATAATCTATAGCTGCAGCGTTAGTTGAGTTTGAGCATAACTGTCCTTTAACCTCTCAGGAATTTTGCAGTTGACTGGGGTGAAACTGGGGACAAATGTAGTGTGGGTGCAGGTAACATTTAAGATTTTAATGAATCATGAACGAAGAAGCACATTACCAGCAAAAGTAAAAAGAAAAGTAAATAAAAACTTAACTGGTAAAAACAAGAGCTCCAAGAGCTTTATTTCGCTTAATTTCCCATGTGTGTTGGGGGCAATAACAAAGGACACAAAGATGCGCTACCGTAAAGCTTACTGAAAAGGCGCAAGCAATTTAACCGTCGGATAAGAGACTAGTGTCAAGCCAGCCTCCAGTTT